TGTTTTTGCTAAAAGGTAGAGACAATCTGATTCACTGCCTCACTGCTTTACTCGTGTAAACCCCTTAGGACAACACTGATGTTTCTCTCCCATGCCATGAACCCAAAGATGGAGGTAGTACACAGATGAAGACCCAGCAAGTGCTCTACTGTTAGACACCATGGAGAAAAAAAAAGAAAAAAGAGGAAAAAGAAAAAAAAGAAAAGAAAAAAATGAAATTGCACTGTCTTTGGTGGCTGTAGACTATAAGCAATGATCCGTAGAGGCTTTTGGCACAACACTGTCACACTGACTGTGGCTTGGAGTCAGCGGTGGCCACAAGATAAGAAGGGACATCAGGGTGTGGAGCTTGCAGCAGAGTAGCAAGTAAGAGAGGAGTGAAAAATGAATGATTTAATAGTGGAGAGCAGCAAATGGCCATGAACACAATCCTCCATGGCCTCTTCAGGGTGGTTACAGCCACAGCATTTCATCTCCAGTAGCCTCTCACAGCTCTTTTTAGACTCAGAATATGAACTTCAGAGAAACCCATTGCTGGACTCTCACTGCAGAGCAGACAGCCCCCAGCAATGAAGGGAGACCCAGCATTTGGGATTCTGGGAGGGGCTGAAGGATGCCCATCTTCTGGAGGGCAAGAAGAGAGATGGGCATCCTTCAGCCCCTCCCAGATGCTCAGCAGAGATGGATGACTAATTCCAAAGCAGTCCTTTATTCATGAACATGGCTTCAGGTAGATTATTCAAGAGCACACAACAACTTCTTTGAATGCATTTGCTGCTAAGCCATCAGCTTTCCAAAGTTTCCTGTTGTGGCTGAGTGGTCAGATAATTCATGTGACACGGTTTCTGCTCCCGACTGGGTGAACTTGCAAGCACAAATGTCACCATTTGTGAGCATAATTTTTCCTCTTCATGTATGCCTCTGACATTTGCTTTCCACTTACCTTTTTGCCAGTAACATGCGATCACAGCTGGTGGGAGGGAGCAGTGCTAAGGGGCTGAAAAAGGGAGAAGTGGAAGGGCCCAGGAGGGGCTAAACGGGGCCTCTGGTGCCCAGAGCCTTGGCAGAGGCAAATGCATCTCCCCGAAAGCTGCTGGGTACCATGGAGGAGCTCAATTCAGAATTAGTGCTTCAGAAACACGCTGCTGCCGGGAGACCTGTGCGCTGGCAGCTGCAAATGAAGTAAATACCATACCGGTACAGCACCTGGCACCCAAGAGGGACTGAGCAGCTAGTCCCGGGGAGAAGGAGGTGCAGAGTACGTGATCTGTGGTCTGCCTCTGATGAGGAAACCACGAAGAGCCATGCTGAGCATGAGGGAAGGGAGCATTATGAACCCCAGAGCCAAGGATTTCGCCAGCTGGGGCTGGGGCAGGTGTCCCTGCAGGGAAGGGCAGGACGAGGGTGCTGGTCGGTGGCCTCTGCGCACTGCCCTGTGCCTCTCCAGAGGCATTTTGGGCCTCATCCTGCCCGACTGCAGTGACACATCTGCTCTGCCCTCTTGGCCCAGACTCTGGAGACCATCCGCATACGGGTGTCGGCCAGCGCCAGGCGAGGGGAGACTCACCTGCTGGGAGAGTCTGTTCTGAGCTGCCAGACAGTTTACAGGGGAGATGGCATCTGGGACCGTCCCGGTGTGAGAGCTCAGACATTTCCTCCTTGAGCCACAGCTTCTGCTCCGCATCCAAAGTGCTGCTGGATCTTTTCTTTTTCCTAGGAAAAAATCCTCCATGGAAATATATTATTGCCCACCTGATGCAGAGGTATATTTATTATATTACTTTCTTCAAATTATATTGCTTTCTTCAAAGATCAGGAGCTGATGCACAGGAGATTGTGACTGTGAAGATTTCAATGGCTGTTACCATTTCAGCAGGCAAAGCCACGGCACCAGGAGCTGATCCTCAGCAGCATTTCTGGAGTTCAGACTCTTTTGTTCCCCATCAACTGTATTGTACCCATAACACAGCACCCTCCAGGGAAAGCTGAGCATCCCTGCTGAGGTGAGCTTCACTGGCCGGGGGAGGTCTCCAGCCCCACCAGAGGCTTCAGACCTTTGCCAGCGCCCCAGGAGGAGGCCACCAGGCCACCCTGTCCTGTGGCATGGAGAGAGCCTCAGTAAATCCCCTTCTTTTTTATCTCTGTGGCTGAAGGAAGAAGCTCAGCATTCGCTGATCACACTATTTCGGGCAACCACAGCGCTCATCAGCGCTTGCAGCCGAGCCACTCTTGTGTATACCCCCGCTTGCCAAAATGCCATCACCTTTCCCCATCCTCTCCCCTGCTCCCATCTCATCGGAAAAAAAAAGAAAAAAAAAATCCTCTCTGCAAGCCGGCAGGGGTTAATGTCAGCCATGACGTCAGAATCCCAATTTGCCCGGAGAGTCCCCCTCCCCATCCACAAACTCCCTCTCTCCTCCCCTCCTCTTGTGACTTTGCAATGAGCAGCAAAACTCCACGGGAGCTGCGGCAACAGCACTAGGGAGATATCAGCCCTCCCTCCGAGAGCAGCTCTTTCCGCAGACAGGGGTTTATTTTTTTTTCTCCACATGCATATATGTACTTATTTATTTACTGGATTGCATTTGTTTTTCCTTTTTTTAACTCTTTCAGAAAAATCCCAAGCCAGCCAAGTGTTGAGCCTGAGATTTCCCTAAAATAAAATATCAGCACAGTGGGCTGGGGTTTCTTCCCCTTCCCCCTCGGAAAATAAAGAGGGAGGGGGGAGCAAGTAGGTAAAATCCAGAATAAAATCATATTGCTGGATAACTCACACCTC